CAACAAAAAAAATCCGGATAGGCGAGGGAATCGAACACACATACTGTATGTATGCATGACATGTGCTGTGAATCGGCAACCAACCATTTTCTTCCGGATGGCGAGGGATCCGGATACAAGAGTACCGCATAAGTGAGATCTGACTGTACCCAATTTATGCAATGAGATCGATGAATATGTGTCTGCATGGAGGAATCAGACACACAAGGGCAGGCACACTCTATGCTCACAAGTGCTGCCATGCGTACATCAGTCAGTATAATTGCCTGCAAGACCTATGATCCTATGACATACAGACTTGACTCGAGATCCACTGCGCATAGTAGCAACTTTTGGAAACGTTCCCTATTACATGAAGGGATCATGAAAAGCTGCTCATCCAAGTCTGTTATTCGTGACGTACAATTAATCATACATTGATGAACTGCTGTACTACAAGTGTCCACTGCTCATAGCAACACATGAAACAGCACTCCAACAATAAAACATTGCCTAGCAATCCAAAAATAGAGATGATGGGTTAGCCTTGAGGCTAACAACAGTTAGTGATAAGAATGATGCACTGCTCTCTATCGCGCTTCAACTGAGTTTGCTTTACGTGTGCATTCAACGGCTGCGGATGTGCTCCCAAACCGCCTTAGTTACAGTAGACTCGTACGCCCAAGAACGTAGCGCCCAAGAACGTCCAGGCTGGAAATCTAAGAATGCCCCAGCCTGGATTTAAACAATTTAGTGCCGCGATCCAACTTTCGAGCGTCATATCTTTATCATCGTTTCTCCTATCGCAAAAGCGATTACACCATTGGAAAGCTTGGAGCTTCCTCTTTGATCTACATATTTCGATATTTGCAACAGGACTAAAATCGATGGAGTTACGACAGTTTTACGGTACGTACACAATATCAGTCGTTAATGACTGATGCACCACTAAGGGTTAAGAAAAAACTCCAAGATTTTTAAGAACGCAACGTTTTTTAGTATTGCACGTTTTGCAAGCGAATTGGACCTTCATGATCTTGTCCGAGCACGAAAAACAAGTCCGCAACCACAAACTCTTGTCGGGTCCTCACGAAAACATCACCGAGTGCAGCGCTACATACTACACGTGCATGTAAAGTTTAAGTGTACAACCGGTACATGTAGCGCAAAGTGCATTGTACATGAGCGTCACGGGTCATGTTGGACGCGTAAGAACGCGAAATAAGAACTTAGCCTGGGGCGCTGAAAAATAAGAACTTTGCTAGGCTGGCCCTCTGAAACCGCGTTCTTGGGCGTACGAGTCTGCTTTAGCTCTTGCTGCATTGACTTTGGCTCACGCTTTCCTTTTTTGGGTCCCTGAGCAGCCATGCATGGGATTCTAGGTGCCACCACCCTCCCATTCACATTATACTTCAAGTGAGAAGAGCTTCCATTAACTGGTGCCTATGCTGCTACTATCTGTGCTTAAATCACACACTATTGGTCAATTGTTTTGTGACGTAAATAGTATAGTCATTGCATCCGGTTGCAGGTTTCATTGCCGCACAAGCATGAGCGATTGATTTGGTTGTTTGCAATGCCAATTGCTTCACCCTGGTTGGCTGTTCGCAACGTGGATCAGGAACCTTTTCACTTGGTCCAGGGCAATGTTGCGGCTCACTCATGAGCAATTGCCTATTTGCAATGCCAATTGCTGCACCAGTTAATCGAAACCAGCACACTGGTTTAGCCAGACTATTCTTAAGCCGTGTTATGAGAATACACGGGTATGCAACAACTTCACTCTGTGGCTTTCCATTGCATGTAGTCCCTCGGCTATCTCTAATGTACCTTAGGACCTGATTCCAACTTTCATCAAAATGTGACGTTAAAGTTACTCAAAGAAAACGCGACCGCGATCGTGAAGGCAACGAAGTCAAAGACGAAGTCGATCTTGAATTTTTTTGTTTGCAGGTTTGATCGAGCAATCGATCGATTGTAGGTAGTCAGAATGGCGAGTAATGATGTAGGATTGAGTTTGTCGGTGTGCCGCATGAGGACGCGTCTCTCCTAGAAGAGCACGACGAGATGTTCTACTGCGATGTCTCCCCGGGAACGATGACAGTGAACGCGATGACTGCGATGACGGAGACAACAACCCGATCGCACCTGCGGCAGAAAAGCGCCAGCTCCGTCCGTCTGACAATGACGAAGATGAGAGTTACAATGACTTGGAGCAGGAAGGTCAGCGTGTTGAGGAAACCCTAACCACCGCAGAGATAGTGGACTGGATGTCAATCGGATGCAGCTGCTCTGGTGACAATCACTTTGCTGCACTTGACAAGGACCTCTTGAAAATCTTGCCATGTCGCACCGCCAGCTGAAGCGCTGCTCTCGCCAAAGTCACGCCCACTCTTCAAAAAGTACGGACTGGATGAACTAGCTGCCTCAGTGACTGTGAGATTCGCAAACCCGGCAACAAGTATGATACTGCATACATGTACATAGCCGGATTTGACAACTATAGTGCATTCTACAATATGGAGAATTCAAGGTACTTGCAAGGCTAATATTGATTTGAAAGTTTGTCACATGAAAGTCTACATACTAAAGACTTAAAGTACATTGTCCAAATAAAAAGGCAATTTCAAAAATTTCACCCCTAAGGTCCATTTACTGAGATCATGGCTCAATTGTTAATGGAGAGGTTTTGCATTCCGAATTTCGGAATTATTTTCGGAATTTGGTGGCAGGAGTCGGAAATGAAGTTGAACTTTCGGAAGTGTGGTGGCGAAAATGCATGGTTTTTCGAAAATGGATTTTCGGCTCTTTCCTGTTTGGGAGCGCATACACGTATTTGAATATTTTTCACGTGTGTATTTTTGTTTTCTGCTGCTCTCGCTGATTATAATTATTGGAAAATTTTCCACATGTGTAGTTTTGGTTTTTGCTGCTCTCGCTGATCTCGCCATGTTGACTAGATCTTCTCACACTCCATCACACTCTATCTTCCTTTGCCATGGAGCCTACTGACAGTACAAGACAGTAGTTCGACAACCTCGTCTTCAGACGTTGGATCACTCGGTCCACCATCAGTCCGTCCGCGTCTTCGAACCGCGCCCAGATTCAGTTTGACCTGCACATGGATTTGATCCTGCTCAGGCAACCCCTACATGTATTTTGTGCTCAACCCCTTTGTTCGCGCTTCTGTGGGATCCGAGGAGACTGCAAAAGTTCTAGCCTTGTCTGACCCAAAATTTGCTGGTATCACCAGGAAGTCCGTCAGAGAACACCATGAACACACGCTGCTTCTGTTGGACCAACACGCCTCAAAACCGAATATGCAAGATTCGGTTGTAAAACGTTTTCGGTTTTGGCGCCTTCGACTCCCTCCATTTTGTTTTGCATGGCAACCCTTGGAAATCGAATCAGATTTTCGGAATGCAAAACACTGAAAATGCCGTTTTTCGGCACGCACTTTTTTTCGGAAAAACACAGTCGAAAAACATTCCGAAATTCGGTATGCAAAACCTCTCTAGTAGAACCACCATCATAATAAAAAGCCGAATTGCCAGGTATGAAAGCTTTTTTTTCTTGGAAGAACAAACAAATCATGAAAATTTTCACTAATTATGTGATGGACAAAGAAGAAAAGGGGATAATAGTATAGCGGTTGGTGATGGACAATGATTGAAATTCAAAAAACCTAGTTATTATACAGCTCTCATCAGGAAGAAAACATTGTTCTAAATAACACAAATTAGGCCGGAGGACTAATATTTTGAATTTCTTAAGTGAGAAATAACGCCTGTATAAAAGCTATCATCCGCACCCTGACACTCTCCTATCTCAACTCACTGCCTGACACTCTCCTATCTCAACTCACTGCCTGACGCTCTCCTATCTCAACTCACTGCCTGACGCTCTCCTATCTCAACTCACTGCCTGACACTCTCCTATCTCAACTCACTGCCTGACACTCTCCTATCTCAACTCACTGCCTGACACTCTCCTATCTCAACTCACTGCCTGACACTCTCCTATCTCAACTCACTGCCTGACACTCTCCTATCTCAACTCACTGCCTGACACTCTCCTATCTCAACTCACTGCCTGACACTCTCCTATCTCAACTCACTGCCTGACACTCTCCTATCTCAACTCACTGCCTGACACTCTCCTATCTCAACTCACTGCCTGACACTCTCCTATCTCAACTCACTGCCTGACACTCTCCTATCTCAACTCACTGCCTGACACTCTCCTATCTCAACTCACTGCCTGACACTCTCCTATCTCAACTCACTGCCTGACACTCTTCTATCTCAACTCACTGCCTGACACTCTCCTATCTCAACTCACTGCCTGACACTCTCCTATCTCAACTCACTGCCTGACACTCTCCTATCTCAACTCACTGCCTGACACTCTCCTATCTCAACTCACTGCCTGACACTCTCCTATCTCAACTCACTGCCTGATGCTCTCCTATCTCAACTCACTGCCTGACACTCTCCTATCTCAACTCACTGCCTGACACTCTCCTATCTCAACTCACTGCCTGACACTCTCCTATCTCAACTCACTGCCTGATACTCTCCTATCTCAACTCACTGCCTGACACTCTCCTATCTCAACTCACTGCCTGACACTCTCCTATCTCAACTCACTGCCTGACACTCTCCTATCTCAACTCACTGCCTGACACTCTCCTATCTCGACTCACTGCCTGACACTCTCCTATCTCAACTCACTGCCTGACACTCTCCTATCTCAACTCACTGCCTGATACTCTCCTATCTCAACTCACTGCCTGACACTCTCCTATCTCAACTCACTGCCTGACACTCTCCTATCTCAACTCACTGCCTGACACTCTCCTATCTCAACTCACTGCCTGCACCTTCACTTCCTGTGTTGTACCCCTCTCTACTCTCATCCTCCCTGTCCAATTGCCTATCAAGCCTGCTGCAACACTCTGTTCACCTCGTTGTTGACTGTATTCCTTGTTGTTGTGGAAATCAAATGTGTTTCTCTTCCAGGTCCTACATCAGGATGGGTCTTACGTAAAAACGATTGGTAACGGTGCTATCGGTATCTCGTTTGGTGTTGCAGCACTGTCTCTGCCCCAGCATGGTATTTGTTATGCTGTAACCGATTGGTATGACGGTTGTGTGAGAGTAAGTTAGTGCTTGTGTGGTGTTTATTGCTGAGATTTCTCAGAATTCTAATTTGATGGTTGCTATGATTAGCCCCAACATGGACTTTTTCTCTGTTCTCACAGCAGAGCAAGTAAATAGGTACAGCATATGTTTCGTATCTGTACATGTGGTGCGAAAGGTGCCATATATTTTTCTAAAACTCCTCCTTTTCCCAACACAACACCAGCACAACACAAAAACCTCTAGGAGAAAAAAAATTGTAGTACAGATAATGCAAGTAAGCAGTGAAGAGAAAAAGAGAAGAACAAGAGGAAGAACAAAATCAACAGCACTTAGTCCAGGAAAAGACACGTGGAACAAGGCATACAAAAGGGCGGCAGAACAACCAGTAATATCTCGTCGTGGCTGAAATAGATCTGAACATGAAGTGAAGAAAACAGCAACTGCAACAAAGAAACAAAACAAGATCAGCTACGCGACTAACCACAGCGTAAACAGCATTCGGCCTTTAAAAGTGTCTGCATTGATATTCACCATCATCATTGTGCCCTGTAGCCGATGACACACATCTACTCACTTGCCCAATACAGGGCACAAGAGGTTCCTTCAAGCATTGAAGTTTTATTCATTCTGGCAGATGTTTTGGTCACTAAGACTTCATCAGAGAAGGTTGAGGTGTTGAAAGACTTGAAAAGAAACAATCACCTAGTTTATACTGACTGTTCCTTTCGCAACCAGTGCCGCGGGACCTCCCGCGCGCCAATCCAGTACCTGACGGACTCCAATGGCAACCGCCAGCACGATGTGAAGGCGATTGCAGACACACTGAACAAGCAGTTTGTTTCATCCGGCATTCCGGAAGATCCGAATTGGGTCATTCCATCGCTGTCCCCAGCCCCTGAACTTAGCGCACCACTCACACGCGTCGTTACCACGACTGCTACCGTCTGTAAGCACCTCAAACTCCTGAAGAATTGTAAGTCCCCTGGCGAAGATGGCATACCCAATGAGGTTCTCAAATGGCTTGCGCCATCTCTGTCCTATCCCTTGTGCCTGCTCTTTAACATGTCATATCGTACAGGAGTATTTCCGTCCGTCTGGAAATCTGCTGTTATCGTCCCGATCTATAAGAAAGGCCAACGCTCTCAGGCTGGCAACTACAGACCAATCTCTCTCCTTCCCGCTGTGTCCAAGGTCTGTGAACGTATTTTCTTTGAGTCTCTGTACTGCCACGTCACCCCAGCGCTTTCACCATCTCAATCCGGTTTCTGCCGTGGAGACTCCACAACTTTCCAACTAACACGTCTAGTACAAGACATCTACACCCAGCGGAACCTCAGGCGGCATGTTGGCATCGTGTTCTTTGACCTAGCGAAAGCTTTCGACACCGTCTGGCATCGTGGTCTGCTTGCAAAGCTAGAGTCCGTCTTCTTGGTACATGGTCCAGCCCTGCAATGGCTCTCATCCTATCTTTCCTGCCGCCACCAGACTGTCAGAGTATCTACCTCCCTATCAGACCCATTACTAGTCGTGTCTGGGGTACCCCAGGGGTCCATACTTGGGCCGCTCCTATTTCTACTGTACGTTAATGACTTGCCAGCCCTTGTACCAAATGTAAGTCTTTTTGCTGACGACACTGCTCTGATGTGCTCCGACAGCTCGGCAGACAACCTCACGGCCTCCATGCAGTCCGGGGTCAACGCTACAGTAACATGGATGGAAACCTGGAAACTGAAGCCTAACCTCGCCAAAACCGAGGCCATGTTCTTCTCTCCCTCGCCCCCCACTCAACTTCTGTATTTTCCTGGTCTAAATAGTACACCTATTAAAGTTGTTAACGAGCACAAGCACCTGGGCGTTATTCTCGACCGCCAACTCTCCTGGTCTCCACAAGTCCAGTCTGTGTGCAAGCGTGCGAGTGCGTCCTTAGGTATGCTACAACCCCACTGCCATCACTTGAATGATAACTGCAGAGAATTGTTCTTTAAGTCGTACATTTTGCCTATATTTGACTATTGCGATATAGCTTGGTGCGGGTTGTCTCAGACTTTACTCCACAGACTGGAGGTACATCAACGCTTGCTTCTGAAAATTCTGTTTCGAAAAGACCAAACATTTGCCTCCCTTTGTCTTTATAAACTTGCTTCCACGCACCCTCTTCTTGCCCGACATCAGCAGCATCTTTGTATCCTTGTGCAAAAAATCTTCCTAGCCCAAGTCCCGAAACATATTGCCAAGTACAACTGGTTTGTTACCACTAGACCAACACGCAATGCCTTATCACTGCCCCGAGCTAGTTCTTCTCTGTTTTTGAAATCCCCTTTCTTCTCAGCATACTCCCTTTGGTCTAACCTGCCTACTAGCATTAAGACATGCCAGGATATCAGGAAATTCACAGTCCAGCTTTCCACACTGTCTCATCCGAAGTGATCCCATGTATTATTAATGTGCCTCCCTTTCTTTTTCTCTCCCTATCTCCTTTCCCTCTCTGACAGCATCTTTCTTTTTTTCCCTTTTAGCTTGCCGTGGTTGGCTATCACCTGACCTCTCATGTTTATTGGCAGTCTTCGGACGGGCCAGGAGATGTTGAATAAATAAATAAATAAATAAATAAATAAATAAATGACGGTATGAACGTGAGCTAAATGAGACATGCGCTAGAAGAGAGAGCCTATGGTGCAGTGTAGATAGGGAGAGCATGGGGTTGATGCCAGGTGAACTACAAGTACTTGCATGACTGCTGTCTCCGTGCTGTGTTGCAGTATCCGGCAGTAACTATCACCTCTTTGCAGAGTGTCCCATGATTTCAGAAACCGGTTAACATTTTAACACCTTGCATTCACACTTCGAGTATCAAGTGCACGCTCATCAGCGCACTATCTCTCATTTCAAGTGCCAACATAACATATTTTAACGAGTGGAAGGTTCGATGGACATCTCGTGCACTCTAGATGGCAGTCGTGAGTTAGGCAAGTGAGAATTCAAGTCGGCAGGGAAATCACGAGCTCCCTTGTAAGGAGCAACACACATTTCCCCAAGTATCGTTGAAGTCGCACCAACATCTTATTCACAGTATAAAGTAGGCGACTATTTCTTTTCCAGTCATGCAACAACTCAACCTTCTCTGACGAGGCCTTAGTGATTGAAACAATTGTGAGAAGGAATAAAACTTCACTGCTGGAAGGAGCCTCTTGTTGCTGCTGTGTGCAAGCGAGTGGATGTATGTGGTCGTCCACAGAGTGTAATAATGGTGGTAAAATAAAAATGTCAACGCAGCTACGTGACTATCCACAGCAAAGACATAAACAATGACATCATTAGTCATGCTCGAATACAGCATGCAGCCTTGCAGGCGCTGGTAAAATGGATAACGCAAAAAGCACGCAAATAAATAACATAGCAAGCGATCGTTGCAGGGAAACAAATAAAATTCGAATAAACTATTTCAAAGAATGATGAAAAGTGTAGCGACTGGCCCAGTGGAAGCAGATAAGGATTGGTCCGGCCTGCCTAAAGTGATCATGGGTCATATGGCCCGATATCTGAGACTTTCGACCTTCGAAGCTATGCGGTTTTTTGAGAAAACACTAAAAACAAATTTGTTCGCAAAAAATCGATTCTGTCAAAGAAAAGTGCAGAGATGACAATATATTATTATTATTATGAACAGTTTCGCGTACTTGAGGACCAGCCTCTTTCCGCCTCTGTGTTCCTGAGCAATAGAAGGAGAGAGACAAAACTATACTATTATGATGATGACAAGGGAAGACATGGACTGCAAGGTACGGCTTACAAATCGACAATAAGCAAATAGCACTGAGAAGGATGGGCAACTTCTGTTTCGTCAGTGTTCACTGTGCGTTTTTTACGAAGGCCTTCCACACTTGCCTGTTGGATGCCTTCTGCCGGAGGCTCTGCAGATGCGGGCTCCTCTTGAGTGGCGTTTGTCTGTGGACGCAGTCTTGCTGGATCTGGGTGACTAAAGTAGTCAGAGGTCTTCCTGGCTTGGCTGTGTTCGGTGGATTGAAGTAGAGTGCCATGGCTTGTTGCGGTGATGACAATGGCAGAAGAAAATTGGAGGCGATTCTTGTGTCAGTTGGTTATTGGGCTCACGGAGCACAGCAGCCGCGATCCCATGGACTGTGATGCATCGTTCTTTGTGGATATCCTGTCAAGCGGTGACAGCGCTTTTAGTTCTGAGAGCGCATGTCAGGCGAATCGATCACAGGTGACACGCGGTACTTACCTGTCGGGCCGGGCGACGATGATGAGGACTTGGGCTGGATGAGTATGATCAAGGTCACAGTCTGCCTCAGCGATAGCTGCTACAGCTCCAGGCAAGGACAACCAGGTGAATTCCTGACGGTACGCCGCTTGCAAGGTCACTGGCCGCCCTTGCGCGAGTGGCAGAACTGTTTTCTGAGTGTCAATCCAGACCTCCTAAAACAGCACTAAAATTAATGATGCGACTTTTTTTTTGCGACGATGATCCTAGACCATCACGGAGCACATGAGGCTGAGCAATCTCAAGTAACATTCTGTCACTTTTGAGTTGGTGGCATGAAACGCTTGTCAGGCTGTGTTACTGATGTTTGGAAATGGTCAGTCTCCACAAAGTGCAACAAGGCGAATCTGGACGCATTTGCTCTGTTTGACTCCTTCACAATAAGTATGTGAATGCTGTTACATGTATCATGGTGTTCCGTCAAAATCTGTTGCCGACTATCCTGTCAAGCATGTCCATCACCAGGAGAACAGATAAATCACCTCTCCGTCTAATGCTGCTATTGCTGCTGTTGCAACTACACAACCTCAATAAAGTCACGGAATGCTGGAAATGAAGTCCCTGAACAGTCAAAACACTTTACTATATTAGTTGGCTATTGATATCACATGGAAACAGTTTTTGGCGGCTCCAAACAAACTGATCTTTCAAAATTAAAAAAAGAAGAAAACTTCATTTACATGACTCCTTACTGTAAAATGCACTTCTACATGGTCAATATTGGTCAGATGGC